CGATCACTAATGTTACAAGCAAACCTTCCAAAGAAGTTCTGGTCTCAAGCTATACAAACCGCTGCATACATCATAAATCGACTTCCTAGCAGAATCTTGAAGTTTAAATCTCCTTGTCAAATTCTCAAGGGGAGAGATATTGACATAAGTCATCTCCGTGTGTTTGGATGTGTGTGCTATGTGCATATTCAAACTATTCACCGAGATAAACTTGATCCAAGGGCTATCAAGTGTGCATTCGTAGGCTACTCAACTTCCCAAAAGGGATACAAATGCTATGATTCTAAAACCAGAAAGGTGTTTGTATCCAGGGATGTACGGTTTGATGAGACACACTTCTTCTTTTCAGAAGCATGATGATGAACCTCAGGGGGAGCTCTCATATGAAGTGTTTCCCACTCCTCTCGTCCTTTGATGATCCAAGACTGTCAACACCGCACAATGAAGCAATTGAGATAGAGCCAGCTCATGAAAATATAGAAGCAAATAATGAAGAAGTCCTCCACGAAAGGAGAGAGCCCCTTGAACAACCTACTCATCCACGAAGGAATCCTTCTCGAAACAGACAACCTCCAGCCAGGCTTGATGATTTTGAAATCTACATGCCTAGATATCCTATTGGACAAATGGTTCACCATAGCAAGACCTCCCCATCTCATGCAGCATTTGTCACTAAGTTATCTCAACACTCGGAGCCTCGATCCTTCGAAGAGGCAAACCAATCTCCTATATGGAGATGTGCTATGCTTGAGGAACTGAAGGCACTCGAAGAAACTAAAACTTGGAGCATTGTTTCTCTGCCAAAAGATCAACGTGTGGTTGGGGCAAGATGGATTTACAAGACAAAATTTAACTCAGATGGAACCATCCAGCGGCACAAGGCAAGGTTAGTTGCAAGGGGCTTCACGCAAACCTACGGGGTAGATTACAAAGAAACCTTTGCCCCGGTGGCAAAGATGAACACAGTTAGAGTTCTTCTTTCGGTGGCTATCAATTCACAATGGTCTCTACATCAAATGGATGTAAAAAACGCTTTTCTTCATGGAGAGTTGGAAGAAGAAGTGTACATGCGCCTACCACCTGGTCATGAACGAGAGAAGGAACAAGGAGTAGTATGCAAGCTTCACAAGGCCATTTACGGTCTCAAGCAATCTCCAAGGGCTTGGTACTCAAAACTAAGCTCTGTCCTTATGTCATCCGGTTTTAAACGAAGCAATGCAGATTCTTCAATGTTCACTAGGCTTGGCACACATGGAAGATTGGTGGTACTTGTTTATGTTGATGATCTCATTGTCACAGGAGATAATCCAGAAGAAATCAATGCTCTCAAAGCCACCTTACATTCAACATTCTCAATCAAAGATCTCGGCAGACTTAGATACTTTCTCGGAATCGAAATGGATCAATCTCCAACGGGGTTGTTTCTAAATCAACAAAAGTACGTTCTCGATCTTTTAGAAGAAGCCAATATGATGCACAGCAAACCTGCTAAAACACCTCTACCAACAAATTTCAAGCATGAAACCTCAGGCATCCAGCTTGGAAAATGCATCGGAGTATCAAAGGTTGGTAGGAAAACTTATCTATTTGACTATAACTCGACCTGACATTGCTTATGCTGTTAGCTTTGTCAGCCAGTTCATGCATTCTCCCACATCTCATCATTTGCAACTTGTTAAAAGGATCCTTCGATACTTAAAAGGCTCAATGTCTACCGGGATTTTCATGCAAAACAACGGACACTTCACCATTGAAGGATACACAGACTCTGATTGGGCAGGCAACGTCCTTGATCGCAAGTCCACAACTGGTTACTGCACTCTTGTAGGTGGTAACCTCGTCACGTGGAAGAGCAAAAAGCAATCTGTTGTAGCTCGGTCCAGCGCAGAAGCTGAGTACCGTGCAATGGCATCTACTGCATGCGAACTAATTTGGCTAAAGAGTTTGCTGCATGATCTTGACATCATCTCTTCCAAGCCAATTCTCCTCCACTGTGATAATCAAGCAGCGATGCATATTGCTGCCAACCCCGTCTTTCATGAACGAACAAAGCATATCGAGGTTGACTGTCATTTCGTCCGCAACCAAGTCCAGTCCAAGCTGTTACAAACTGCATTTGTTCGCTCCAGTGATCAACTAGCCGATGTGTTCACCAAGCCCCTTCCTTCTTCTCAACTTGATCGTATTCTCTTCAAGCTTGGATCCAGAAAATCTCTCGATCCAGCTTGAGGGGGAGTATTGAATATTATTGAATTCTTTAAACCCTAACAGCTGTAAAGCTGTGTTAGCTGTGTTTAGCTAGGGTTTAGTGAGCTGTGTTATTCCCTCTTCTGTGTAAAGCTTGTTAATAAGCTGTAAAGCATGTGTTAAGAGAGTGTGGAGGTCATCATACTCTCATGCTTGCTTAGCTGACTTGCTTAGCTGCCATTGTCCCCTACTCTCCTCTCTTTCCCGATTATTCCTCTATTTATGCTTAATCTTGTAAACTGTTTTGAGTCACTGAAATATACATTAAGGTTTTCTACAAGACCTTCACCATTTTCTTCCACTTAACATCAGCATCTTGCTCGAGCTCGGGATACTTGAGATAGCTTAATATGTCATGCGGAAGCAGCGCGGCATCGCCAGGATCAATTTCATTGGCTGCAGCCAGTTGCTTTCGCTTGTACTCCGCTCTATAACCCCACCGGTTGGCAGGTTCCCAGCCCTCTGGCGCCATAGTTTTTCTCAAGGGCGACAAAACCTCCTTCCTCAGTCGGTCAATACAACAAACACTACCATCCCCTTCTCGGCGGCATGATTCTGGCGGGAAAACCTTCCTTGCAATGTTTTTGAACAGCATATGATGATCAGCGGTGGTAGGGAAAGAGGTAGCCGCTTGGGTAATCTCCAAGCAGTAATCATCATGATGGTCATGGTCATGACTCATGATCCTTGTGATGATGAAATTTTTCAATCTCAGACTTGAGACACTGGGCGAAAATATCCGAAACACAGTCGTGCAAGAAGCGGTAATCAGCGTTGCGCTCTTATCTCTGAGCCGCCTTGTTGGCCGTGTGGATCCCCTTTATCTTCCATACATTTATAAATTCATATATATGCTAATATATATATAGTACGTACTTATATCATATTTACTCATTTTTAAGCTTGTTAGAGAGGTGGAAACTAGGCTTGGGCACCAGGAATTTCCTACTTGGGCTCCAGCTCCAACGCGAGAAATCCTCTAAACAGAAGGGCATTTATTAAGATTTACTTGATTTGGAGAAATTCAATTCAAATACCTATACTTTCTTTTTTTTGGTAAAAAATACTTAAATTTACTTTGATTTAGCATACCTAAATTTTCCTTGACTTGATAGATATGGATTAAAACTTAAGTGTACAAAAAAAGGCACGCGGTGATCCACTGACCACAAAGAACTAGCATCATACAATTACAAGACGTAGGTCCAATAGTTAGAAGTGATGAGGCCAACTGGCTTAGTTTTATGTTTTGACTAGTTATTTTCGGTTTAAGTTGAGCTAGTCTTGCATGTATGTCTCTTGGATACAACTAGGTTTTTCTTCAATCAGTGTATTCTCGCACGTATCTTCGTATACGTAACGTTATCTTATCTATCTACCTATCTACGCGTGCAGGTTACTCAAGTGTTTAGATACCTTTTAAAATGAAAAAGGCTATAAAAAAGAATAAAAACGATATTTTTACAGTAAACTATAAAAAGAACTAAAATACTCTTGAAAGAAAGTATGAGGTTTGAATTCGGGATGTAGTGAAATGAAAGAAAGACCCTATATACTAGGGCAATCCACCACTTGGGAAGAGATTAAAATTGTATATGGTAAATTGAAATATTCATTTTCATAGTTCCTTACAGACAAGTACAAAATGTCCTTCACACCAAACATTATGCACATATTGAATATGGAAGTGAAAAAAATAGCCTAAATTTGTGTCCTCTATAGAATTGTGGCAACCATTTGTTGTTTGTGTACCAAACCCTTTATGACTAAACATAATTACAAAAATCATGTTGTAAGTATATAACTTTGCAAACTAAAGTTCGAAACGAAATGACGACTGAAAATATTATATTAATTCAAAGGATCCTTCATTTTAACAATTTTTTTCATAAATTACAAGTTGTTCACAAACTGGACATTTTAAAGTTAAATTTTGATTTCTTTCTTAAACGAGCCCACCTCCCAATTCGTCAACTTTGTCCATTGACTCGTTATCTTTTGATTACGAGATAATTTAATGCCATCCACATTATCAAATATCTTGTCGTTGAGAAAAATTCAAAAAGTTATTTTCAGAATTGACAGGAATAACACGTAAAATTATATATGTAAACGGTGTGAACCATGTATGTTAATGTTGAATTATAATCTTGGTTTGGTCAAGAGAAATGGTCCAGCCCAAAGCGAATGCATATTGAAAGTTGCAAAATTGTGTGGACATTAGGCAAAAGCCCAAGTCGATGTGCATTAACGTGTAAGACTATATATGTAACGGTGTGAATCATTCATGCTAATGTTGAATTATAATCCTGGTTTAGTCAAGAAAAATGATCCAGCCCAAAGCAAATGCATGTTGAAAGTTGTAAAATTGTGCGGACATTAGGCAAAGCCTAAGTAGATAAAATTGTTAATTGTTGAAAGAAAGAAATAAGTGGAAATCAAACCAACATCAAAAGAATAATGTTAACAAGATTAAATTTGTAGGCATATTTTAGAAATTAAAAAACATAGAAATTTATGATTGGTTTATTACTTAAGCATTGATAAAAATACTTATTCTTATTGATGATACATCATTTAATTTATAAAGTTTTCCTCTAAATTTAATTTCTTTAACATTACTCTCGTCAAAATACATAAACAAACTATTCATCCTTATAGAAAAGCGTCGTCTGCATTTTAAGAATAAACAAATTGCTGGTTTGGAGAATAAACAGACTGACATCGACGACCAATTATGCCCAGTGTTCTAAAACGCGGTCTAGGCGGCCGCCTAGGCGCTAGGCGGCGGTGCTCCACCACAATTAACTAGAAATCGTTCACTAAATCGGCAAGGACATTAAGCGATGTAAGACGGCCGCCTGGGCGGGCTAGGCGAGCTCGACGGACGCTAGGTGGTCTGCGCAGCCTGGAAAAGAAACTTTATTCGCAAGACTCACAACCTTCTTGTCTCCTCGAGTCTCGCCGTCTATCTCTCTATTTGCTAGAAGAAAGTCGAATATCTGTGGTGGTGCAAGTTGGATATGAGACTCAAAGTTATGTAATTTACATGGAAACGTCTCATTGTAAGCTTCCTTCAACTGTTAAAATTTCGATTTTTCACTTCGGGTTTCATTTGGGAAGATGCAGGTTTTTGCTTTTATTTTTTATATTTAATTTCTGAATTTATTTTTGCAGGCATGGAGAAGGAGGAAGAGAGGATTCAAATTCAATGGTGGCATGTGCAGGACAATCACATCGTCTTGGATTCATCGCTTTGCGGTCTCCACTTCCAGAAAAGACATCTCTGGTTTTCAATTCAATGGTGGTTAACGGGTGAAACGGGTTGAAACAGATGATCCGTTAGCTTAACGAGTTGGATTCGGGTGACTTGTTAAGTTTAACGGATTGAGTTCGGATGACCCGTTAGCTTAATGAGTCGGGTTAAATCCGATCCAAACTCAATAAACCCGATCCGTTTACAAGTCAAGTTGTAATCATGAAAACCACCCCACTTGCGTGAGCTTTTGATATTTTTAAAAGTTATATATTATAAAGGGTCAGATGGTTTTATCATGAAAACCACCCACTTGTGTGGGTTTTTATATTTTAAAAGTTTGGGGTGTATATCTATATTATATGTATATAAATGTTAATTTAGATATTATTTTGTATTTTTTTCCCTAGGCAAGCATATTATATATGTACATAAAACATTCACATATGTATGTTCTTCTATAAGAAATAATATATTATTCAATAATTATTTACACCTGATATAGTAAGTTTAATTAATTTATATAAAATATAAGAAATTTACCTAAATCCGCCTAGACCGTCTAGGCGCTTGCCTAGCCGCTTAGGCGCTAGGCGCCATCCCACAACCTGACTAGCGTCTAACGTTTTTTAGAACTTTGATTATACCATTATATATATATATATATATATATATATATATGGGACCTGGATTGTTTGCCCTCCTCATTCCATACTATTCTTATTCTCTCATATTTTTGTGATCACTGTTAAGCCATGTTAGCATTTTATATTTTCATTGTTTTTTGTCTTATTATTTCTATAAAAAAAAATTAATATAAAATATTAACGTGGTTTATTATTTCTATAAAAAAATTAATATAAAATGTTAACGTGGCTTAACCGTGATCACAAAAATAGAAAATGATAGAAAGGCAAACAATCCAGGTCCATATGTATGTACACTACTCCCACGGTGCCACGGTGGGAATTATCCTCTTCATTCTCATTGGCTCTTAGTAGGAAAAAGAGAGAGGAGAGAGACGGGATGAATTTCAGAACTAGTGGGCGAAGCAGCCGCCATCTCTGATTCTCTGATCTCTTCCTTCCAGTTTTTTGATTGCTTCTGCTTCAGCTCCTCCCTTCTGCTTCAACAGCAGGTCGGCTCTCTCTCTCTCTCTCTCTCTCCATATGATATACACCTATAAAATACAGGAGATCAACTGCTAGCTAGCTGGCTCTCTCTTTTGAAATGTTAAAGTTCATCCTTAACTGTGATCAACAGATGCATTCGAAAGCAGTATATTTCCCAGTCCATTTGCTTGCTTAAAAAAAAAAAAAAATTGCTGTGGTTTGCCAATATCTAATAATTATTTGCATATTTTATATAAAGATTCATCTCAGTTTATTAACTTAAAATTTCGTAATTTTCAATATTTGATATATAAATATTTTTTTATTTCAGAGTCATACATCAAGTCTTAATTTTCAGATAATCTTATACATTCGTGAAGTTGTTTATGTCATCTGTTAACTGATAACGTTATGCTCATGTGAACAATGATCGAAGTGTCATTAAAGATCTACGTGAAAATTACAAAAAAATTAAAATTTAAAAAGAGATGTTTTGATATAGGTGCCTTATTTTTGAATTTTATATACTAAACATCTATGCCTTTTAGAGATTTGATTAAACTCTTGTTCTCATCATTTTGTTGCCACATATATTAGAATTAATCATTTTTTATACCAAAATTACATGACCTGCCACTACTCCATATTTCTTAATCTCACGCCAAAAAAGTGCACAGCGTATTGAACAAACTTCCTATAATCAAGCATTTTGATTACCTTCTCCCCCTTTGGAGATAATTGTAAACAAAAAAACCCTAGTTAAATACAATTTATTTTCACAATACTTCCTACAATTTAGCAATGATTTCTACGATTTAATATTTTATTCCCAAAAGGGTTGAAAATATTTTTAAATCTCACGAAATCAAATGTACCAATATAATTTTTTATATCAATACATTAAGAGAAAATAGGACTAACAACAATATAAACGTACCAATAAATAAAGTGTATGAAATCAAACGTACCAAAATCAAAAGTAATGTACCAATATCAACAATATGTACCAAATCAAACGTACCAAAACTGCAAATAAACGTACCAATCAATGTTTTTTACAAATTAAAACGTACCTAACGGCAGTATACACATAATATGTTGTACCTAATAATAGTTTGTCAACAACTATAAGTAAAAATAAAAAAAATAAAAATAAAAAACAAAGAAAAATAGTTTGACAAAAAAAAGGGGAAAAATTACACAGTGCTTTGTTGGATCGCCAACCATTTGACAAAAATAGATAATATTAATGTTTGTAGAACAAAAAAATTATTTTGATCAAAAAATTATAATTGGAAAAAGGGATAATAGAGTTAATAACTAATACTCCACTAAATAAGGGGAAAAACGCATAAAAACATAAGAGGATAATTTAGAAATTAATAATTAACATTTTATTTTAAGAAAATACAATAATGATATGTAATTTAATTTAACAGAAAATTGTGAGGTGTCTATTGGTCAAAGCACTTTAATCAAATTTTGAAAAGGCACAAATGTTTAGTCTAAAAGATATAAAAAAGTTGTAGGGGATTCTAATTTTCCCATTTAAAAAACTTAAAAAATTAATAAATTTAAGAAACATTAAAAAAAAAAAAAATAGAAAAAGGTGGGGATAGTTGCTTCCTCTCCCCCGTCCCTTTTTCACTCTTCTGCAATTAGTTCTTCTGCCGATCTGGGTGCGACGGAGGTGCAACTTTTGTGGTTCTGGCGGGTGGTCAGGCAGGCGCGAGCTTGCGACGGGTCGAGCAGCAACATGTGCGGGTCCTGGTGGTTCGGGGTTGGCTGGGTGGTTCAGGCAGAAAATAAATGGTTGGGATCTGGACTGGTGAGTCTGGCATGCCTTCGGCTTTGCCCAGCTCCACCGCGGCTTGGATTAAGGTAGAAGAGATGAAAATCTAATGAGTGGGATTTGGCCTTGGAGTGAAGAGATGAGCGGGATTTCTCTGCCTTCACCTTCGTTCCCAAATTTCTGCAATTTTTTTGAAGGGCAAAGGAAAACGCACGATGGAAATTGGATTTGGAAAAAGTAAAATGGGCAAACTCCATGGACAAAGAATTCTAATTCTTCGGAGCAAATCGGATCGATAGGCTTATCATCGGTCACGCTTTATTTTCCCTTTCAATTCCTCCGTTGGTGGCCGAATCGATCTCCGCCCACCCATTGCTAGTGGCAGCGAGACGAAGGGCGACGGTTACGAGGTCGCGAGGGCAAGGGTTGCTGGGTATATGAGATTTGAGGGAGAGAAGAGAAAGAAAGATACCAGCAGGCTGCATCATCGCTCAATTTTTTTTTTTCTTAGTTTTTTAATTTTTTAGTTTTTAATTTTTTTTAACATTCACGTGGACTTTAATGATGCGTAACATATTGTTGACATGACTTAACAATCAGTTTAACGGAAGTATGAAATTAGTAGGTATGATTTTAGGATAAAAAAAATTTAATATAACAAATATTAAAAATCATAAAACTTTATAATAATAAATTGAGATTAATCCCTTATATAATGTCTTATCCATGAATAAACTTATTGAACTTTTTTTTTTTACCAAAAAAAACTTATTGAACATTTTGGAAGACTCGTCAACTCTGACCGCAAGTTGATCCGCAAGTTGATCGCGTTGCATGTGCAACCTACGTGTCATACACCAAAGGCCACTTAGGCCTAACATGATTCTTTGGATTCTCGTGAGGTTCTTGAAGATATGTGAATTATATCTGTTTATCGTACGTTATATGATTAAATTTCGTCAAATGCTGTATGTATTTCATTTTAAATAAAAAATTAAAAATAATTTTTGACCACATGAAGTACGCTAAACAAACACGATTTATAGATCTCTGTGAGGATCCGGATTCCACTTAGGCAGTATATGTGTCTCCCTTGCCTTTCCCAACCAATGCGTATAACTGGTTGATAAAACCTGTCAATTTTATTTTATGCTAAGAGAGATGAACTTATTGATACGATTGCGAGGATGAGTATGAGTCTTTGATATGAACAGTATTTTTTTTTACCTAACATTGAAAAGGAGGAAATTAATGTACTAGACTAATTTGTGAATTATGACTTGATTGTAGTTTTAGTATGCAAATTAAAGATCTATTAGAGATAGTATTTAAGTTTGACATATGTTAAGCATTAGTCTATCGCGCTAAGAATTTTGGCCAAAATTCCGAGGAATACCTTTAAGAAGAGTAAATTAGAGAATTGCATGTATGCTCCTTTTAATAAAAATTCTCATAGAATTAGCGTCAATAACCAGTGTTTCATATTTTGTCGAATACATGTATAGCTATAATAAAATTTTAGATTATTGACTAAAGCTACAATTCAGGGCGAGCTTTGGTGCAATGCAAAATTTGCTTCTTTGTGACCGAAATGTTACAGGTTCGAGTCGTGAAAACAGTCTTTTTGCTTATAATGAACGTTCTTTTCCCATCCTTCCAAAGCAGGAATCCTTGTTTGCTTAGAGTCGCCCATTTTAGACCAAAGTTACAATTCAATTTTGTTATACATAATAATGTGATTAGTTTAAGATATTGTCATGATGACATCCTCGTTAGATGTCATATCAAAATCACCAACTAACAGGGAATTAATCCTTTGTTCTTTCGCTATGGATAAAAATCCCTCTCCATAATTAGTAGTGGACCGAGTCAGAATGTTGATCCGTAAGTCAATCCTTTGATATTTTCCACCAGAAAAGTATTAACAATCTAGAATTGTACATAAATCCCTTGATATTTTCAACCAGAAAAGTATTAACAATCTAGAATTGTACATAAATATTTCCACACTAAAGCAGCTCAATGTCTAATACGACAATATACAATTCAACTAATACGATCAAAGCCTTAGCCAACTCCAAGTGGGAAATTTAAAAAGGTGTTGGCCGCCATTGATCTACAACTTGGACAAAATTTAAGTATATACGCACACGTTGTCAATATATGACTAAAATCTTAGGCCTCGTTTGGGACACCGTATTAGACTCCGGATAGGATTAATAGTGCGAGACAGGTGTTTGGTGCAGTTTTGAATTAATTAGCCGGCCGATTATATATCCCGGGCCCACTTTTTAGTCCGGCTCACACCTGCTAAATAATACACTCCAAAAGCTAAGGATAATTTAACAGGTTCAAAACTCAAAAGCCCAGGAAAATTTAATCGCGTTGTCTCTTCACTCTCAAATAAATTTGTGCCTTCTCCGTTCT